CTGCAAGCATGCATGTTATCAGGATTTGTGAAACAACAGTATATTATAGAGAACTCACGCGCTGCTAAGTGCTTTTGCACTCTGGCTTTTTGAGGGTTTCTCTGTATGCGAATCGACGTAGCTATCTTCGAGCCGACCATCTGAGGCGAAAAGAGCAGCCACGTTGTCCAATACCGAGCTTGAAATGGAATCATGCACTAATGAGTTGTTGGAATTTCCAAAGAAAGGCAAAATGCCTTTTTTTTTATTTTTTCCTGCTCTGTTGTTGTGAACATTAAACGTATACTATGTCTCAAGTGATAACTAGATCAACAATAATAGTCTAGCTTCGCCTTGAACAATACTGGTAGTACTGTTCAAGGCGCAGCTAGCAATCGCAACGGTATTGACAAGCCAACGCTCTTGCACATTTCGCCATAATCCGTTGCGGTCGCGCCTCGCAACAGCACGCTAATAAAAACTTACATAGGCGAACATATTTGTTCTAATGTTCATGCCAACCAGTGATACGGTTGAGGCGTTTGGTTGCCTCATGGCGGCAAGCTCACTACGCGTTTATACTTTCTCACGTTCTGTATTCACCCCACAATTTTAATATTCCTTCCTCCCCTTCGAACTTGAACAACATACTTGGGAACTCGTTTCCAAATCACAACCTTCCTCAGTAACAATTTGCTACTCTATTTCTGGCTCTTGTTGTAGATATTTTGTGATTCATTGCCAGCAAGAAGTGGTCCTTTCAACTGTAGTGTTTCATATTTTAGACATTCCGTTTTCGATGTCTCTTCGAGGGTTGCACTGTAGAGCATTACCGCAAAGATCAAATGGAAAATCATCAGTCAAAGATCCACGGGAAAATAGATCCGGACATGATGGAGGATCGTTCTCTCGAGCTCTTCCATCGGTGTCAGGTTGGTATCGTTTTTGCTACTATGTTTTAACTGTCCCTTTGCTTTGTTTTTATTCGCTTTGTTTTTTTAAAGCTTACTGTTTCCTTAAAATTCTTTTTCCTCCACGTTGTAATGTTGATGTGGTGGTGAGGAGTGGTTATGTTCGGTCAAATTTGGTGTAAGCATGCATCTCCCTTTTTCTCGCAGTTTTTAGGGGGTTATTACAGGATGACAGTGTTTTAGCAGGGGCTCGCTCACCATAGTGAGCTATTGGGCTGCTCTGTAGTAATATAGAAGTTGAGGCGCGTGCAAAAATGTGCTGAAATGTGTGTGCCAGTGTCGTGTTGTGTCGTTTCAGGAACTGAATCATGAACTGTTTCTGGCCCATAAAGCTAATGCTAGCAATAGCGCGGCAGCAGCAGCAGCGGCTGCGGCCAAAGCTGCGGCTGCGGCAGCAGAGACAGTCGCCTCAAATCAAAGTCAGACACAACAGCAACAGCAACAGACAGAGCAGCAACAACAGCAGAAGCAGGTTGGTTCTCGGGTGCCACACACTACTAACCACTGCGCGCGCAGCCTGAAACTTTGTTACGCCTGTCTGCTGCTTAACTTAATGTGTTGTAGTGCATGTGAACTCACAGCCGACGTGTGCATGACTTCTCTCCCAAGTTTTTGTGTTCTGTTCTGTTTCGTTCCTCCTTCAGAGCTTCTAAGTTCAGTGAAAGTGGTGTGGCTCGAGAACTGATCTGTGTGATGCAGTGGCTCGCGCCATCGTTGTCATAACTAACTAATTAATATGTTCAATTATTCTATATGCATCTTCTTTACTGCATATACCTACAGTGACTTGTCGGATAGAGAAGCGCGCCATCGCAACATAGCGTGCTTGAGCTTAAATGAGCAAAAATTCATTAGACTATCGAAAAATCACGGATATGGGCACGCCGCTGGCGCGGCTTTAACCGTCTAGGAGTGTTGGGTTGCATCCTTACCCGTTTGAAGTTGAACCATATCTAGTATTTCGGAGAATAATGATAAGTTTGCGTGTTGAGGGAAAACATGTGATTGTTCTCTGTAGGGAATAGCAGAAGGTTCAGCGATAGCGCAACATTTGTGATTTTCAAAAATGCATGATATTAGCGGGATGGCTCTCTCCCTCCATTCGTCGGTGCTCTTACCCATGCAGACCCGCGGTCAAGTAGAAGTTCCTTTGTCAGACGACTTCAAATGACTTTGAGTTTCTTAACTATAATAGAAAGAATCTATTAGTTTTTGCACACTAAATTTAATTTGCCATCAATACTTAGGGAAGGAACGCTTCCCGCCATTTCAAATGGGGCTGAGGTCGCCCTCGGCTTTCTTTTGTTCATTATTAAAATATTTTCTGCTTATTCACTTCGCTAAAACTTTCTGCAGCGTACGAGTGAGCTAGCCATTCTCCTCAATGTTGGGAGAGTATGTGCGGTAGATAACAAAATCTGTAATTATCTCCTACCCATTTACCGAATTTGGCCATGCGTCTGTTCCTGACAGCTTGAATTCGTTTATTCTGCCAATGATTTTTTTTTATTCGGATCGATTCTGGCACCGCATTACCTTTTGACTCCAAATTTTGGCGTTAATCGTATTTTTGCAGTGCGGCAATGATAAGTGTGTTAATGCGCGGTTTCCTAGATACCCAGCGCTCGCTGTATTTTCCCTGCGCGGAGAAAGGCAAAAAGGACTTTATGTGAGGTGTAACGGCCCTCTTGGGTGAGTGTGGTTCACTAGGACAGAAAGCGACTTTCCCCGTTCTGCAGTGCGAAACATTTTTCGCTGTGGAAACTTATGTCCATCGCTGATCATGAGTGAACCTGGAATTTCTGCAGCGAAAAAATGTTCCGCGCTAACCGCGAAAAGTCGTTTTCTGCAATGAACCACGCCCTCTTGGGCTTGGATTATGACTAAAGGTGATACATTATCACCTTCAACGTGTAAATGCTGATTAGTGGACTGCCCAATCTCCTAAAAACCACGAACAAATAACATTAACCAACTAACACATTGTAACATGTGTGTATATGTTATGTGTCCTGTGACACTTATAACAGAAGGATTTGCAGGAATTATCTATGGAACTGCTTGGTACAAAAAATGGTAGTACGCCTGGTCCTACAGCAGCGAAAGCCGAAGCGGCTTACAATGCTCAAATTGCAGCTCAGAAGGAAAAGGTTGGTGTTTCGTTTCTTGAACTTATCCTGTACCTAGAGATTCTGGCAAATCGTTTTAAAGGACATTCATTATTTGGAAACCTGAATTTTTGAAAGGAAATCATCACAATAGACGATATTTCGAAACAAAAAACGGATGGAGTCCCATAAAACTCCAATTACTCCTTCCGTCTTAAGCGGTTTTTTTTTCATCCATCTTATCAAGGTGGTGCAGAATTACCCACATATCTTGTACCTCATCCTTCTTCTTGTTAATTAGAATGCATAATGCGTGGGTGCAAAAATAGGTTATAATAATTGTAGTGCTGTCGCTTGCATGGTCCGGAAGTGTACCTACGTTCTAGTGAGCTAAAACGCTCCTCTCCTTTGGGCCAGCTTTTATGATATCAGTACTGCTTGTAAAAGCCTGGCTTCCTGAGTGGTCAAAAAGAGTGTCGATATGTCACCACGGGTCTATATGGAAGGATCATGGCGCGTCCCTAAGCTTGATTGAGGCGAATGAACCCTTTTTAGCGCATGCCATCCTTACGGAAGGCCATGTTCGTTGCGCACCTAAAGTCATCGAACATTTGTTTAATTTCTTACCAAAACAGCGGTTTGGTCTGGCTATTTGCCTATCTTTGGCTCAACCTGGGCATCAGTCAACCCTTAAATGGCGACTGCGTCCAAACTTACATAGTTTATGTTCTTTATTAATATATCTTTAGAATAACAAAACTGCTACAGCGCCGGCGCCGAAACCTCCTCCGATCACCGCAGTTGTCCCAAGAGCAGTCCCGGACGAGGAGCACCCATTAGAGTGTCGCCTTTGTCACAAAACTATGCAAAATAGGGTAAGTTTTTCAATCAGACTTGATCTGGACTTTCTTCTTGTTTTATTTGGTATTTGTTGTTGGTAAGGACTGCTTGGACATGAAAGAGTTTTTAGATACGAGGCTTTCATATTCTCTGGCATATGGCCAAAGACATGGGAATCAATCGATACATTTGTCGAGTTTGTGGGTTTGGGCACGACCGATCGCAATCTGTGCAGGTACACGGAAAGAAAGAACATGGAACTGAGGAGGTGGTGCAAGACCGCATTGGGGTGAGCATGAGCAATTTTCTGGTGTTTTGTCAATGGCTTCCACTAAGGTTGGTCACATAAGCTCTACGATTGACGCTGTACAAATACTGTATTTTTGCCTTTCGACGCTAGTCGAGCATAGTTGACTTCTGATCAGTGAACCGTTGTTGCCCTGATTATGAGAGGGCGTTATCCATTTAAAGTGACGTCAATGATTGTTAGGAGCTGCCAACACTAGCGGGAGCCTATGATAATATGTTTGCTATAGCTGCAGAATCCTATTCATATTGCTAAAAAGGTTCAGGAATATTCTGACGAAGTGAAACAAATGTCCGAAAAGTGCTTCGGTTTCCAAGCGCTTTTCGCACAGGAGCACAAACGCAGAAGTAAGATCCCGTCAGCGACACCATCGGTGAGTTTAAACGTGTTGTGTGGGATGCTAACGGATGCCGTGAAATCTAACGTCACATTGTCACTGAGTGTCTGTCATACTATTTCAGAAATCGAAGAAATCGTCAGACGATGACGATACTATTGATGATTTGACGTTAGATATTGATCACGACATGCAGGTAGCAAAAAGTGTATGATGTGGTTCACTGGCATAGTAAAGATGATTAACTTTAAGGGTGAGCTTGATGATGCTGATGTCACACCTGATGAGGGAAAATTTCTTCTCTTCCAGGGTCACCAGTCTCGCGAAATTGTCATGCGGCACATTCGTGAATTGCACGATTCTGAAGATCGACCTGTCGATAACCGACTAAAACACGCGAAAGATATCAAGGCAATGATTCGTGAATGCTATCCTGCGTATTTCGTCGATGCACCGATTCCAACGCAGCAGGATATTGAGAAATTGTGAGTTTGAACCTCTTTCAGACTTCATGCTCAAATTTTCTACTACTGAGGCCACTTTGACTGTAAAAGATCACCATAGCCAACATTCAGCAACAGTTAACTTTCACACAGTCCCTTTTGAATTTGGGGGTGTTCAAAAATTTGGGGGGCCTTTGGAAAAAACCATCTTTTCCTGCGTCCTTGATCTTATGACAGTATAGATGAATTTACTATCAGCACTATGAAATTCTCATATCGTGCTTAAAAGACTAAATAACTCACATTTTAGAAATGTGGAAAGATTACCAATTCTCGAATGAGTGAACATGCATATACGCATATGGAAGAACAGTTGTTCCTGTGCCCTCACTGCGAGCTGGTTCGTTTTGTTTGAATTTTTGGAGAGCTTTTCATTTTCGAGTTTCGTTTTCATTATGCATGTCCTGATTATGTTGGGTCAACAACAGATAGCTTTTCCTTATCACCTTAACTTAGAACTGCATTTTTTTGATTTTTTCAACCTTTTTTTCTTTCTGGTATATCTCGTGTAGAAGTTTGTTGATTGTTGACAATGTATGAGCTGGTCAGAGTATATGCCGCGCGGTTTGGCGATCATTGCGGTGGAGAGTGCAAAATCAGTAATGGTCACGTCCTATAATCAGTCATATGCTCATCCTTTCATTATCCTCATCAGATTCCCGATTCCGCATAGTTTGGCACGTTGTGGCTTGCTCTGCGAAAGTAGCTCAACTGCGTAGTTTTCTTCACGACCCTACCTGCACCCCTGTACGCGCACACTGTGAAGTTAAGGCAAGGATAACGATGATTCTTGAACCACAAGGGAAAGGCGTAAGACATTTGGCCTATCAATGCCATTTCGTTAGGCTACAGATTCTACTTCCGCTCCGAATTGGCACATTGGTTGCGATTTGGCCTACACGATAAATTGTGGAGTCATCCAGTGTGGCCTGATGTAGGATCTAGTGATCCTTCTTATTTTCCCAGAAGTCTGTCGCCAGATAACCGATTTCATAGGGATACAAATGTGGTTAGCCTGGGCGGCGAACGATCAAGGATTCCGCTTCTCACCATTATTTAGCGGATTTTGCTTTTTTTTCTTAATTTCGCTGCTCAAATTGGAATAACACGAACCTGTACTTCCTGTGGTGCTATTTATGTGAGATGGTAGAGAATCTTATCAAGAATTCAGCAAAGGAAGAAAAGGTTCCTTTTAGTTCCAAGGAGAGCCATGTACACTTCGAAAATTGATGTTTACAATAATTTACCCACTTCCCTATATACAATCTTTTTTAACGAATTGCTGTTATGTGATCGATAGAGCGAGTAGTCGAAAAATTTCTTCTCTTCCAGGGTCACCAGTCTCGCGAAATTGTCATGCGGCACATTCGTGAATTGCACGATTCTGAAGATCGACCTGTCGATAACCGACTAAAACATGCGAAAGATATCAAGGCAATGATTCGTGAATGCTATCCTGCGTATTTCGTCGATGCACCGATTCCAACGCAGCAGGATATTGAGAAATTGTGAGTTTGAGCCTCTTTCAGACTTCATGCTCAAAATTTTCTACTACTGAGGCCACCGTGACTGTAAATGATCACCAGCCAACATTCAGCGCAGTTACATTTAATCCTCTTCCTAATGTGGTGAGGAATTGGCTGGTCGTTCTCGACCTTGTTCTTTTTTTCATTTCCCTTCTTAATGCTAGTCGACGCCTGTCAAGAGGGAAGGAAAAATGTCATATATAGCTGGCGGACAGGAAGACAAAACGTTTACCTCTCATTCTTTATAAAACTTAGCAGTAAGGAGTTGTGAAAACTGCTGAACCTGTACTACTAAGCTTTGCTTCAATGTTCCCTTCTTGATGTAGGATTTGAGAAATTGCCCGCAATCAGCCATGCCTTTTCAAGAAACCTAACCTTCACGATGGTCAAAATCTGCGAAATGCTTCAGTGATAATTTTTTTTTGAAGAGCAGGTTTTAGAACCGCTAGAAAGCTTCTTGGCTCAACTGTTCGTCTTTTCAGAAAACAGCACATGGGTGATACCGCGTCATCAATCATAGCTGGACTGGATGACGACCCCAGTGATGGTGTTGAGGACGAAGAGGTTGCAGATTACGAGGATGATTCGGCTTCGGAACCGAAACTTGTCCTTGACGAAGACGCAGGCCTTGAACTTGAACAAGAGGACGAAGAAGATCCCGGTGAAGAGGAATATGCCGCTGAGTGAAGGGTTGGCCTATCGTATGCTACATTCAATCGACGTATCGTTCGTTCACAACGGACAGATCGTCAAATTTTCTAGTCATCGATTTTTCATCTTGTTATTAGATCATACTTTCGTTTCTTACGCGCACAAACCTCAAAGACGAGTTTTCATTTTGTTGTTGTATTTCTTTTATTCTCGCGGTTTCTCATTTGTTTGCCCAGTTTATTTCTATTCGTTTTTTTTTGCAATATTGTTATGAGTGTCTTCAAAGTATTATGGTCAGTACATATTGCTTGGTCTGAGACTTGCTTTTACCATTGATTGCAATAGAGTCATGTGGAGCTTTTCTTCTTAAGTAACACATAGTTGTGGACCCGAGGCTGTCTATAACGTACGTAAAACAGATTGAGCTAAGGAATGCGAGCGCTTAAACAGTGTCTGTATCGGAGAGGCTGCACGCGTTGCTACTGCTCACGTATACCTCAAGTTCTTCGTACAGGATCCTCAACTATCTTCCTACTTGCACGAGTTGTTTTTACAAATCTATGTAAACATCCTGTAGTTTCTCTAGTTGCCTTAGCTATAGTTTCCTGTTTCTGCTTATATATTTGTTTTAGTAATTCTACATATGCATAGCAAATTCTGTTGTTATATTCATAATTGAACCCCGATCCCGGTATTTTGAGTGCCCAAATTTCTGACACCTCATCCATCTCATTTTCTCGTTCTTAATTTAATATTGACCTTTCATTAATGATCCCTTTTGAGCCGGTTCGGTGCAGCGCAATTCAGGCGTGAGCCAAAATGGGGCCAACAAGAGCGGTTGCGCGCAGTCGTGATGCGCTCTTAAATTCCGTCCTGTTTCTCTGCTGCATCTGCTGGCTGGCAAGGTGTGTATTAATGTAGTATATGTCACAGACTTACAATATCTCGGGGGTGGGATAGTGGGCGAGTTTTGGTGTCAGATTATCTCACTCAGGAGCATTCTGCGCCAATAATCCGCTATCTCCATTGAATTTTATTGCTGTTCAATACTTATTGATTCTTACGTGTAATCTCGTTAATTAACTGAACCGTTACTCATTTTGTGTTACTGAATGAGTGAATGAATGAAGTTGCTGATCAAGATGGGTAGCTTTTGAGAGTTCAGATCAAGCTTGTTAGATGAAGCAGTCGTTTTTGTGAATATCATCCCCTGATGGAATTTCACTAGGATTTGTAGATTTTAGTGTGGACCGTTAGCGAGTAAGTAGTCCGGCGAACACTTCGTAGGGTTTCAATTGTATCGTAGTTGAGGTGTAAATGCATAGATCTGCCAGATTGATGCTTCGGTTTCGCCGGTCTCCGTCCACAGTACACCGTGCGGGTTCAACAAGAGGTCGTCTGCGACTCTGGAGGGGTTGGGGTCTTTTTTTGGGTTTTATGTGTAGGTGATAGCAGCAGGGGGATGTGCTCCTTTTTCACTTAACGGAGTTGGAGTATCTTCGCTGGTCTGGAATCAAATACTGACAAATACAAACATACGAACATTCATGGTGGGTGCTAATGGGGTGGTTAGGTGGTGGCAGCAGAGGGTTGAAACGTCTCCCAGGCTGGTGCTAATGGTGGGGGTGGAGATCGACAAAGCTTCTGGAGTTGCACAAGGGACCGGAAGGCTGTCCCTGATGATGAGTGGAGCTCATTTTTAACCGTACTAGGAAACATTTCGGCTCATAGTATCCATGCAATATGATTGTTGTGAAGTTGTGGCTGTAAACATTCCAATCGTATAATGGGACGGCTACTGATCCTACTTTTGGCTCCCCGGCAAGGTGTCGAAGTCGAAATTAGGAATAATTAGGCTTCAGGAGTTAATTTAGTGTGATTTTACGATCGTGCAGGTGTCTACAGTAACGCAGCCATTTCGAACATAAAAATCCACTAACAAGTGTTGGCATTGCAAGTTAAAGTGAGCACAGGTGAAGGTGTGAGGAGCGTAGCGTGTGCAGGAAAAGAGACGCCTTGGCGGTTGTTAGCGGTAATAATAATGTGAGAGCGGCTGCCACAAAAGAGAGCAGTTTTTCGACAATGAGGGACTGAAAGTAAATTCTTCGCTACCCGTGTTAGCATACCAGCGGATCAACACTTAAGGGTCTTGAGAAAAAGTGGGGCTCACTAACATCCAGTGCGAAAAAACAAGAAAATCCAAAACTGGACCTCCCTGTGCCGTTATTTCCGTTCATTGCTGGACACGGAGCATCGAACGATTAAAGCAACAGTCCAGGCAGGGTTTCAACTACTTGGTCATTAGGCGGTCAAAACATGCCCCAGCCCAACTAAAGTTTATAGGAAATGTCTTTAAGTTTCAAAACCTACCTCTAAAATGCGCTGGAAGGGGTCGAAGTCCTCTTGGAGGGGGCGGATCACCCATACCGAGGCGGATCGCCCAACATACGCTGTGCAGAGCGCTTGCTTGACTAGCGGTCGTTGCGGGACCGCCGCGCTGTATGAGGTCGATTCCATAAGAACGCAATTGAAGCGCTTCAATTTCGATTGCTGGCAAATAGTTATGTATTTGCAAGCATGCAGCTATTTGCCAGCAGTTGCAATTGGAGCGCATGTACTACGGACAACTCGTCCAACACACGTCTCCCTAAACGGCAGGGGGAGTCCCTGTCTAAGCCCCTGCCCGACGTTTTTTTCTACTTTTTCTTTCTCCATTGACCAACTTCTCACCTGCAACGTCATTATAGGTGGTCCTTACCCGCGAATTCGTTCCTGGATTGTTGCTTTAATAACGTTTTGGTGGCTCCATCGTATAACCCATGCTCCATCGTATCTGCTCCAGTTCTACTGCTGCTTGCAACACCAACCATGCACCCCATCACTCAAACTAAAACAGTGGATGAGCGCTAGGGCGGGTATTTTCGAGACTCAAGAAACCAGCTCACCGCTCTTTGAAAGTACTCTTCCACTTCCTTGGCGGCCAAGCTACTGCTTCTTGTGGCGCTTAGACTTCCACGATGGCTCCCTTTTTATCGTAATATTGTTTATTCTTTTATTTTATTCTTTGAGGGAGCCTAGGAATACTCTCCCCACCACCATCAGTTTCCGACGGTTCCCCGGGCGACTGTTTCCCTTTAACCCCTTCCGCCATCATCATCGTTATGGCTCTTTCTGTGACATTTCTCTGACCAATGGGCAATCGACATTCACACGCCTAGCCCTACCTTCCAATTTTCCAACTAAAATGCCGTCGTTTTCCATTATTCTAAGCGCCCAGCGTCCTCAATGACGCTTTAGAAGGCGCTAAAATTTGCGCAACACGCTATGGTTCATAAGACCTTTACCCTCACGTAGGACTTCCTACTGAGGTTGTGCTTGAACCCTTGTCTTTACAAATCGATTGAAACATTGGGAAAGGTATTTTGCAAGCTATTCAGTTTGTGAGTTGACTTGGCTCCCGAGCTAGACCTACAAAAAAATAAAAAGTGGCCCCTGCTTCGAAATTCTTGACTCGGATGCGCTTGTTCCGAAAGTTTGGCCTCTAACTCCATAGTTGATTTTCCAAAAGCAATCAGCCGTAAAACTCTGAACTCTCTAGCCAAAATGACTAGACAACAACCGACCGACGTTTTTGTGCCTATGTTCGGTGTATTATGAAACTCGAACCCTCAGACATTCTCATAACTTTGGAAAGAATTTATTTGACAGGTGAGTAATAAGTGTTCAGTAAGAGGAGACTTGCTGGCAATAACTATGAACAGACATGTAGTAAGTAATGGAGGTGCGGATCAGACGATTAGAAGAAATCATCCTCGTATGCGTGGCGTCTTGTGTGACGTTTCGCGTGGCGTCTGGAAATCTCGATTCAGAAATACTAGAACTCCTCGCTTTGTGGTAGCGCTATGAATTGTTTGAGCAAGTAAAATAGGCTATAGATAGCGTGATTCGTGTGTAACAGTTGCTCTAGGGAAACACGGAATAGATGTGGAGCTCTGTCTTTTGCTAGCTTTTGTAAGTCTTGTTTTTGTGTAACACCAAAATGGTACCAAGAGTTCTTGAGATAACAGGCCCTAACGAAATGAAATGATTTTTGAGAGGCGAAGCCAATTCGATCTGGGAAACTGGATGGTGTAAGGACCCTAACCAATGATAGGTCACCTGAATGTCATCATAATTTAACTTTCAGCAACCTGATTCCACCCCCGCTTTCCCTGGCCTCTGCCTGTTTACTCGACTCCCACAGCACCTTCGTATACATAGCTTCCGTTTTACTACCTGCTCCCCACTTCGCGAAAGCACTAGGAATTCAGTTTACGACTTCATTCCCTTTCTGCGCTTTGATGATTTCGTCGAATCTGTGTCATTCTATTAATGCAGCTATCTCACCCAGTAGTGCTCAAAATTCTTATCGCTAAGAATTGCCAGATGCTCTCGAAACGGAACCTCGAAGTGGATGTCCTACGTTGCACACATGCGAAGTAAGCAAACCAGCCCTTTTGGCGTTTCTGGCTGGGACCGTATGCTGAATGTTGGGGAGGGGATGGGGTCCCCGACGGTCGACGGACTACTTCAACTCGGTCCTTAACCAGCCCTTTTGGCAGGAGCTGCTGGACCAGCTGCACCACTTGCGTCATTACTCTCCTACCGTACCGAACCGAGTTGAAGTAAACCGTCGACCGTTGGGGACCCCATCCCCTCCCCAACATTCAGCATACGGTCCCAGCCGAAACGCCAAAAGGGCTGGTTTGCTTACCTCCACACATGCTGCCCATATCCTATCCAATTTTCTGCACCAGATCATCCTCCCTGGAGCTCCTCCACCCTTATGAGGCAAAGGTCTCCAGTCCCCTAATCTAAACGACCATTTACTTGGACCACTGGAAGTCAAATTTGGGTTACTCAAAACTACAACGATACTTATCAGAAGTATACTTTAAATGAGTCGATTATGTCTCATAAGCGCGAGAACTCAATATCGGAGAACTCAGTGGAGTGTATCCCCCCAAACTCGATTTTCACCATCTAGGTCTACTACTTACATAAGGTAGACTCCTTACCCTATGAGATGGTCACAAAGCTGTGGGTCGATATTAGAGCGGATTATCATTAGGGTACTGAACGTCATAATCCCCGTCATTACATCGGTCAAGTTCCCACAATGCAAACAGTGAGCGTGCGGTCAAGAAGCGTATCTATATATTCACTAGACTAAGCTTGCGCTCAGCTATCCATGACCGAGTTCGCAACTGTGTTAAAGGAGAATTCCACGATAAGGTCGCAGGTCGAGCAAGGTAATACATCTAATGGAGAGGCAGGCAGTACGCGCTTTGCTGCGATGTGCAAACCTCTAGTAGCCTAGCAGGGCCGTACCGGCTACGCTCGGGACGCTACATGCCCTACGACTCCCCAGCACCTCACTGTCAGACTTTAGCCGTGGATACTAACCGTTTAGCAGAATTACAGAGCAGAGCGTTCACGTTGACAACGTTGCACCTATGAGACTCGTTCTAATGCGGGAATCAGCAAGCAGAAGCGGCTCCATTTTTTTTCTTGGCTTTTCTTTATCCTTACATCGATGACCGCCCTTACCTTGATTTCTGACAGACTGCCTTCTATCGTGAACTTCGCTTTCAACGGCAAATTGCCGAATGATTTAACCGTATTCTTACCTGCGGTGGATTGAGTTCAGCTTCGGCACACCACCAACCACTCCGGATTCGATGCCACATTCATCTACTCCTCTCAGAATGCGGAAGTAACCTTAATAACTCAGAAATAAATTACTTAAATTGACTATGATTCAAATCTTACCGTCCTCTCCCCAGTCAGTGTTCCAGCTGTTAGCGACGAGCCAGTACGGCATTCCTTGGTCGACTCCCCAACCGATCATTTTCACTGCGTGTCCTCCACCAAGTCTTCCGCCTGTGTGCTGCAAGAAGGACGATGAAGACGGTCACGAAATAACCCATAAAAGTGAGGCATCGGTTGCGGCAGTTTTTCGCAGTTCGTGACTTTCCTTCGAAAAAGCGGCATTTTTAACTTGGGCTCTGTGCGGGCAGGACGAGCAGTGCGCTGTGGAGTGGAAGATGCAGGAGTCTCACCATAGACGCAAGTACAAAAGCGAACCCAGAGTTGGAACTTTGATCGAGAAGCATGGCCTTTTCCATAGCAATCGGAGACCAGATGAGCCGGAGGCTGTGACAACCACTTGGACCAGAGCGGTTACCGACTGGATCCCTCGGGACGTCAAAAACACCTGGACGACCGCCGGCCCGATGGTCAGACTTCTTCACGAAAGCTCTGAACGAAAGGAATGATGGACTTCGTGTCCCTCGAGCAAGGAGGTCCACTGGACCACTCTAGCACGCGACAGGGACGAATATAGGTGCTAAAGGCACTTGCTCGAGAAATACAAGGAATACGACGAACAACGGGACACGTCATATTTGTAACAGTGATGAATAATGAACCGCAAGAGGGTGAAATTGGTTGGATGACCACGCCGCGACGGAAGCATGGAAACAAGTGGTGTCGCTAAGCGTTAGCGTCTGTGTGAACCGCAACGTAGACCCCTTAACCGTGGCACCAGGGAATAGTTCGTAGTTAATGCGCTAAAATACGCTCCCAAATGTGAGGATAAAAGACGGCCTTCGAAATTTCGAAACAGCTCAAAGTAATTCAATCCTTTTTCAGATGAAGTTCGCTTTGAATTGTTAAAGTAAGTTCTCAAGTGTATAAATGAATAAAGAATAAAGCTTCAGGCGCTCATCAATACCTTGTGGGATGCGCCGCGCATTCTACTTCCATCCAGAATCGTAGTGGCATTTGAATGCGCTCAGCCTATGACTTATAGGAGCCAGCAAATGTGCTTGCTAGGGCGCATGCATAGTCGGTCGTCCGACAGCAACGATCGTAACTGTCGCACAGCATTGGATGCGTATCGATCGTCAGACTTGCCTGAGTATTCGACGATCGATACGTATCTAACGCTGTGCGACGTTACGATCGTTACGATCGGACGACCGACTATGCATGCGCCCTCAGTGTTTTTATCCTCCCAGACAAGTCTGGTACCAATTAACCGACCCCGGAGGGATGGAAGGCTTGGTTGGCCCGGGCGACTCACGACCCAGGATTTGATCCCGGACCGCTCGCGTGGTAAGCGCGCCACTTGCCACTACACCACTTCCGCCCTTCCAGGTGTATAGTTTAGGGTTTTCCAAGCTTTTTCCATTGAATTTTGTCTCATTAGTTCAAGATATGAAGTCTACAAAGTACGTGAAGGATATGCCGTGATGTGCCCGCTCGCTTTGATTCAGGGTTGGAAAACCTACTTCATGTTCAATCGGTCAAAGAACACGTGAGATATCAATCAGCGGTTGATTTCTTTACACCACCAGTGTTAAAGTATTATTTTCGTAGCGGCAGTGACTTGGATTACTGTATTATCCGTTCGGGATAGGGTACTGTTGATCAGCGTCGCTGTGCTCAATACGGTTTGGTGATCGCGCTCTTTGGCACTCGTTGTTGGCGTGTTCGGGTAAGCATAAATTCAACTGGATCACCTGTCTTCCTATTGTTCGCTAAGTTTCCCGTCGGGCACCATAATGTATTCACTCGTCCCTGTCGTGCGCTAGTATGGCATCTTCCTCGTTTGAGGGACACAAAGCTCTCATTCCTTTCGTTCAGAGCTTTCGTGAAGAAGTCTGACCATCGGGCCGGCGGTCGTCCAGGTGTTCGTTTGACGTCCCGAGGGATCCAGTCGGTAACCGCTCTGGTCCAACGGTCATCGCAAAATCGCATGACGTGTCCGGCCCACCTTATCTTCGATTCCTTGGCGAAAACGGCAGCGTCCCTGATCTTCGATCGTTGGCGTAGTTCGGAACTCCGATTTCGCCTCTGCACTTGGATAAGCCCAAGCGTTTACGGACT